ATTTTGACCAATTTTCGGAATTAAATAAAATGGTCTTAGGGGCATTTTCGTAATTTTCCGATCCCGAACCGAAATTTCAATTTTCGCACATACGTGTTCCATATGTGCGTGGCCAACATAATATGGCGTAGGAATCGCGAAATTCATCGCGCAAGCCCTCGAAAATCCACATCAAAGTTTCGGGAATAAAATAATATTATTTTTTCAATTTTTGACGAAATTCCAATTTTTGGCCAAAACGACTCCTGGTATGCGTGGCCACCCAAAAATGGCATCGGCCACGAAAAATAACCTCATTTGGCCTCGAAAAGCAACGCGGCATCCCGGGGGCAAAATCGTAATTTTTCACCCCCCGGACCGAAATTCCAAATTTTTACTCGTACTAACTCCACATATGAGTGGCCGGCGTAATATGACGTCGATTCCCAAAAATAATCTCTTAAGCCTTGAAAATCGATATCGAAATCCGGGCTTAATTCCGTGAACAAAACCCGTTTAACTTTCAATTTCGGGTCTCTCACTAACGGGCGGCAGTTTAGAGATTACGCGTATCGACCTAGGGCTACCCGTATCGTAATGGTCTCGATCATTGAGAGAATGAGAATTTATCACTAACCCCTGAGGCTCTAATCGTTCGGTTTAGGTTCATGATCGATTGGCCACGTGCACTTTTCGGTCATGTAATCACCGCAATCCGAGTGTACAACGTTGGCCTTGGCCAAACCAAATCCGTTACCTTTCCTAAGATCGGCCCACATCGATTCAAAATATTCCCTCAGCATCTCTCGCGATCGGTATCCGTTTCACGATAGGGTCCACGTACCGCTTTCTAATTAGCCATGCCCCATTGGTTAGTATCCCGAGAGTGATCAGCTCTGAGTGAGACTTACTAAAATAAAATGCGAATTAATATCCGTTTTATTGATCCCGGACCTACATCGAAATTCGGGCTGTTACAGACACCATAGATCACATTCCACGCAGTCTATAGACAAAAGCAGGAAGAAAAACATGAGCATTGCCTCATATCGAAGAAATATCGGTCACTGATATTATTTGATTTACTTCATACTCCTCGGGGTGCTTCTAAATGAGACTAGTCATGATACCTTCCTTCCTTTTTACTTGGCTCAAACTTTTGTGGATTGCATTTTTGAACGGTAAAATTCTTCGCAGCTCGTCCTCGACGAAGAAACAAGAAGAAGAAAAATAGTTCCATTTCTCTTCTTGAAGTAGAGAAAAGGTTCCGATACTCTTTCCTTTGTCTGCTAGCTGGAATGATCGAGACAAATATACAAGAGCTTATTGAACTCCACTCATTCGCTCCCTTTCCAACCATCTAAATAGTCGATTTTCCGATCTGTTGTCTCGGAAAGAATTTATGGAAATCGCAAGTCCTCTTTTAGAAATCGTCAAAGGTTTATGGGCCTTGGCCAGTAAACCTTTCGGCTACATTTATAATCTGAAAGATAATGTCCGCTCGTTGGATGAAGCAAATGAAAATCTGAAGGCCGTGAGCGAAGATGTGAAGGCAAGGGTGGAACGTGAAGAAGAAGAAACACGTGCGCGGCGCACGAATCAAGTGGCGAGCTGGTTAGGCAAGGTGCAAGACTTTGTCGGTGGAGTAGATCAAGTTCTTCGGGAAGCCGGGGAACGTGACCAAATCAAATGTCTCAGTCGTTGTCTTCCACGGAACTGCTGGTCGAGTTATAAATTGGGGAAAAGAGTCGATCAATTGCTCAACGAAGTGAGACAGCTCCAACATGAGAAAGAAAAATTTAGCGATTTCACGTCACCGCTGCCTCCTCCTCAAGTGCTCGAGATGCCTATGGACAAGACAGTGGGGCTTGATATTTCCCTTAATAAAGTGTGGAAATGGCTAGTGGACGAAAAACGAGTGGGAGTGATTGGGTTATACGGAACGGGCGGTGTGGGAAAGACCACCCTCATGAAAAGGATCAACGAGGAGCTTTCACATGCAAATCATGGATTCGAGGTTGTTATTTGGGTGGTGGTGTCCAAGCAAGTGAACGAAGATAGCATTCGAGATGCCATAAGGAAAAGGCTGCACATTCAAGGTGAGAGGTGGGATCAATGGTCCCGAGAAGAGAGGGTGGATCATCTATGCCATGTTTTGACCCGGAAGAAGTTTGTGTTGTTGATTGACGATGTATGGCGGAGGCTAGACCTTTCGAATATCGGAGTTCCTCATCTTGGTCCCGAGAACGGATCCAAAGTAGTGTTCACAACTCGGTTGAAGCATGTATGCGACCAAATGGAAGCCGACAAAACCTTGGAAGTACAGTGCTTGATGCCTAAAGAAGCTCTGAAATTATTCGAGAAGAACGTCGGCAAATCGCTTGTAGATTGTCATCAAGAAATTCGAGACCTCGCAAAGGACATTGCCGAAGAGTGCAAAGGGTTGCCACTAGCCCTTATTACTGTCGGGCGAGCCATGGCCAGAAAAGACAATCCTGGTGAGTGGAGGCATGCGCTAACAACGCTGAGGAACAAACCACACAAGCTGCAAGGTATGGTGGAGGAAGTGTACCACATACTAGAGTTCAGTTATAATAGCTTAGATGACTCTACCCGACAGGCTTGCTTCCTTTCCTGTTGTCTCTTCCCTGAGGATTACCCCATAATAACGAACCAGCTTATTGAACTCTGGATTGGAGAGGGCTTGCTAGGAGACACCGATGATGTATACAGTATGCGGGACGAGGGAGAGTCTATCTTGGGGGATTTAAATAGGGCTTGTCTATTGGAAAGTGGGCGTTATGATGACCAACCGTATGTAAACCGACGGTATGTGAAGATGCACGACGTCATCCGCGACATGGCAACCTGGATCGCTCGTGACCATGGGCAAAGGGAGAACAAGTTGCTAGTGATAGAGAAAGACGAAGACATGTCCGCGGAGATGATCTCCAAATGGGGGGAAGCAAAGAAAGTATCTATATGGGGAGAATGGATTCGGAATATCGACCAAATACCATCCAAGTGTTCCCAGCTTGAAACTTTGTTTGTAAGGGAAACAAGAGTGACTGTCTTGCCAAGTGGATTTTTCGACTCGATGACGACTTGTCTGGTGGTCCTGAACTTGTCCGACAACAAACATATCAAGTCATTCCCCGAAGGGATTTGCAATCTGATTAATCTACAGTACTTGAACTTGTCGGGCACCGGTATTAGTGAATTACCCAAAGAAATCAAGAACTTGATTCGTTTACGGTGGTTGCTACTAGACGACATGTTGGAAAGAAACATCTTTATTCCGACAGGGGCAATCACAAGCTTACCGTTGAATGTGTTCAGCCAGTGGAAGTCTCGAGATTATTTGAAGGAATGGGGTTTAGTGAAGGAAGAAGAGACGGTAGAGGAACTAGAGTGCATGCAACATCTCATCGACTTATCTATCTACGTGCGCGAGTCTTCCTCTGCTCAGAAAATATTCCAATCTCCAAATTTACGGAGACGCATAAGGAGAGCGTGCATTGATAATAGGAATGGTAACTTGACTAGCATCGTAATAAATTACTCACCGGCAAGCATTGACGGTTTCTCGCATTTAGAGATGCTTTGTCTATTTGGGGGTTTTGAGCTGAGTGAGAAGAAGATAACTCAGAGAATAGGACGAGCGCCAAGCTACTTTTGCTTCCCCAATCTCGTTGATGTTTGGGTCGATGAGTGCACGTTTTCGGACTTGTCCTGGCTCGTGCATGCTCCGAAGCTTCGGGAGCTGACGGTCGTACGCTGCGATTCGATGGAGAAAATCATTGGGGATGGATTTGCAGGGGAGGAATTAGCTGCTTTGGGACTGTTCTCACGTCTCGAATCCCTAGCACTCGTCGAACTTCCAAAACTGACGAGCATTTGCGACCAGGCTCTATCCTTTCCCCAGGGGGTAACCTTCTACATAGACGAGTGCCCTGGCCTCAGAAAGTTGCCGTTGGACTCGAGCAGCGCGAGGGGAAGCTTCGAGGTCGAGGGGGACAAAGACCGGTGGGCCGAGTTTGAGTGGGACCCGACCACCCGGGTCACTTTGCAGTTGGATGGCGAGGACCTCGTAGAAGAAATGACATTTGGAGAGGCAGCACGTAAAGTGGAAGATGAGTGCCGGCGCATGGCCAAGATTGGATTCCTATCTCGTGGGGGGCCGAGTGACTGAGTTGAGGCTGATAAGTTTAATATTGTTGTTTTTTTTATAATAAAAAAAAAAAAAGCGGTTTCGTTTGTCTTTCCATAGTTAAGTAATTTTATGGTGTTGGGATTCCTGTAATGTGGGAGTGGCGGGGTGGGGGGTGTTAAAATGAAGATGAAGGGGAAACAATACGACCGCAGCAGCAAATAAGCATCTCTCTCTCTCTCTCTGTAACCTCACCTCTCGTTTGTATCTTCCAACTGCTGCAACTGCAACTGCAACTGCAAGTGCCAATTCAATAAATAAACCCGTCCCTCCCACAATTTGGATTTAAGATCACCGTCTCTCGTCCTTTTTTTTATAATTAATTAAATTTTGACAAATTTCTCGTCCCTTATTTTATTTATTTATTTAATAATAATAATAATAATTGTGTCCGTGATGATTTGCTCTTCCCTTTCTCTCCTGCAAAAGCTTTGGCGTCTCCTCCTCCGATGCGATTGAGCCCCCCCGGCAGCCACCGATACCCTGACATGGTCGATGATGCCTCGCGGCGCTTCTATAGCTGCCATACCCACCGTCGCACTCCACCACCACCACCGTGTCCCCGTCTCTCTCTCTCTCTCTCTCTCTCTCTCTCCCCCACACCCCCGATGCGAACAAGGTCGAGTTGTGGTGGAGTTATCTCGTTGCTACGGTTGGGTTTACGAGTTAGTGCTTTCCCGCACCGGTGGTCGCACCGTATTCAGTAGCGCGCAATCGTCCTTGATAAAAGCTTAGTCCCTTGACATTTCCTTCGAAGGTCCAAGCCTTGACTCAGCTCTTTTTTGGCGGATGGGGATCCTTCCTTCGGTGGTAGAAGGCTGGGCAGTGCTGGCAGTGGCTGATCCTTCAGTAATGGGAAATTGTGATTCAGAGGGATGAGAGGAAGACTATGGGCAGAGGCTTCTTATGTTCTGCTATTTCGTGTTTTTATCTGACAGTCCTATCAGGTCTGCTAATATCAATTTGTCTTCCTAGCTCTAAAACCTTTGGCTGAACGACACAACCCAAGTCCGAAAATTGCCCTAGCTTTATTTCTTTGCTTTTCTTTTAGGATCTGGTCGTAAGATTCGACCGTTCCGTAATCCATTGCTGTTGTAATTGGAAGAAGTTGCAGAATTCCAGTATGCACCATCTTGGGTGATCACCAATTCTTACTGCCTGAACGACAAAAAATTGTTATTGCTAGAGACTTGGAGTATCGAGTTACTACTGTCCAAGAGCTGCGAGGGATATTTGCACTTGGTATTTATGCACGTCGAGTCTTGTCCCCTCTTAGATACTGAGTTTTATCTTGCTTTTGCCGAAAATGGCTTTGCCACTTTTGCACCTCTTTTGGGTGGGAAGGCTTTCCCATATTTCGAATTAGCAAAATAAGACAATTACCTCCTGCACTCTGTGCCCCATGAATAAGCTCATAGGGTGGGCTATGCTGTCCATGCATGTGTCCCATTTCTCCTTTCGCTTGCAGACTTGATTTTTGCACTTGGGAAGATGCCTTTTCGGTTATGATGTTGTATGTAGCTTATTTAGCAAACTTTGTTGCAATCTTCAGTGCAGATTGAGTTGGATTTTGACGTTACGTTCTGAATCTTAATTTATGATTGTGGACATGGTGGCAGGCTTTGAAGCAAGAAGTAATTGTTGACCTTGTCGATCAGTGTCGTTCTTATCGAGAGTGTGTCGTGCTTCATCTGAATCACATAGCGTTAGAACTTCAATAAAGAAAATAAATTATGCAACCTTTTGCGGTTAGATGTTATACCCTTAGTTGCGCACTCTACTGACCTTCAGAGACGAGGAACTTCCGTGGCTGGGATTGGCATTGAATGCTAGTTTGCAGCATGCTCTTTGTCAACATGATAACATTGTCATCAAAGGTACTCCACTGACCAAAGCAGAAAGTGACAGAAACCCCCAGCTTTGGCACCAGTGAGTGTGAATCACGAGGATGATGAATCTGAAGATGATTTTTCCCAGCTAGCTCACAGTTGAATGTTCTGCATTCCCTTTTTGGATATGGTGTTCAGGTAAAATTTTATTTTCACTTTGAGTTGCTTTCGAGCTTCCATCATGTGACAGTTTCATCTGATACGACTGGTTCTACAGAACAGATATTCCACACTTTCTTTGAGCTGCTTTTGGTAACTTAGATAGAGACCATAAAGGCTCTGGTATATGCCTTTTAGAAACATGGCCAGGCACAAATTTCTACGATTGTCGGAAGTGATGATGACTTACTAACATCACATTGATATGGAGATTCCTATTTTCTTCCGCACTTACTCTGTTGCTTCCCTAGACACTGACCTGGTTTTGTTTTGCCAGCACCCTTGTGTTGAAATGTGCTATATTCTTCCGTTTGAAAACATGGGCAATAGAGCACGCACACACTCGTACTCATAGAAGAAAGTCTCTTTGTGACAGAGAAAAGTAATTTTCTTGAATGTCAGTTTTGAGATCTCTGATGTTGACTTCTGTAATCTTATGGAGAATTCTATGCTGAACGACACCCTACAATCTGTTTGAATAAGCGAAACATCAAACCTGCAGCAGTTGAAGTTTATTTCTTGATGCAAATTTCCATGTCTCATCATGTAGTATTCACATTGTCGCAGGTGGTCAACAGATAATGGAGACAATGGGTAAGCAGCGAATGCTCAGATTGAACTATCGCGAATCAGCCCACTTCTCCCATCTCCACCCTCATCAAAGAGACCAGTTGCTGGAGATTCAAGCTCGATGATTACCTCAGTGGCGATGTATATAAATACAAAGAATGTCCCGCGACAATGGGATTGACACTATCCTCAGTTCCTGATTCTAACAGGACCTGTTCCATGCCATCTACTCCATCTTATCCCCATTTTTTTCTTCTATTTTGGGCTTAGCCTACAAAATATCTGCTTGCTTTCTCTAGGAGAAAGGCCGTTGTCCTTTCACTGTCTATATGACTCCAGTGAAGGTTCTCAGCTGACCAATGCTATCCAGCTGATAATTTATTTCATACCTAGCTGTTTTTTGCTACCTAAACAGGTGAAGAGATTATTCTGTTTAGCATGCTTAGCGTACAGTCTGAGAAGAAGTTTAATTAAGTACTGGATTGCTTCCATTCCCTGTGCGTCGAAATTCAAGGAAGAAACTATAATCTAGTGACATTCATTATTCTTGTCCTGCCTTTTGCAGCCTGGCCGCAATTTTAATCGGCTCCGACGATGGCTTGATACATGACATATAACTGATGTCATCCTTCTTAGTCTACTAGTTTTATTTTCATTCACCAATCGCAATGGAAGCCTGGACTGTCAAGCATTTGAGTTTTGCAGGGAAATATCAAAAGGTGAAACCGGTGGTTTATGGTATGGTGAAGTACTGGAGTAAGATGTTTCTTTGCCCACGAGATTAAGGCTGTTATGATGAGATGCTCTGCATCTTTGTGAAAAGTCATATCAACTAGTGCCAGGGGGGCTATAGTGGCTTGGTCTGAAGTGTCTTCCCAAGTGTGAGGGAGGGCTAGGCCTTAGAAACTTACTTCTATGAGTGATAGTTCTATGTGTCACAGTCCAGAGGTTTTCAACGTATGAAGGACCGTGATGATTCGAGAAGACCAGGCGAGCCTTCTAGAGTTTCTCGAGTTCTCTAGAATATTACTAGGTACGGGCAATATGGGAGATATACACCATTATGGAGAATTCTCGTAATTAATGCGGGTAGTTGGTAGATGGGGAGATAGAACCTTCACCGTTAGATTGTAGGGAGATAGAACCTTCTATGGTTATGAATAAGGGAGTACTTGTATATATAGGGATCACTTCTCCTCATTTGTATCATCCCACAAGTAATAGAAAATCCAGATCTTCTCTTCTCTCTCTAAACATCCTTGTGAGGCCTAGCGTTCCTTTACCCGTGAGATGTGGAACACTGCTTGTATTCTTAGTAAGTTGTGACAGTTATAGTCCAAATTCGGTTCCCTTTGGATTGCTTGGGTGCATTGTGATCGTTTAAAGGGATCTAGCATCTGGAGTAGTGTTGTTATTAAGGCTGATAGTACTTATTCATTCTACCTAAGGTATGCAATGTGTTATGCACCACCAACCAATTAATGGGAGATAGAGCTGGAGCTGACATAACATTTGTATCGGGTTTAAGGAACTATCCTTATGGAGTTCTACATTTCTGTCTGATTCAAGGCAATACGGAATTCAAACTTCAGTATGCTGATTTCGAATATCTTTAGCACCTTTATTCTCCATGGTGAGCTGGCTAGGCTCTCCTATTTGCTTATGTCCGTGCATCGATGGATTAACTTTCATAAACAAAAGACATATCTCCAATCTTTACTTATCTGTCCACTCTCTGCAATTAAGCCGGTTGGAGTTGCATTTGTTGATTAACAGGCCAGAGTAATAGGATTGTAGCAAAAGGTAGTTACTCAGCTAGAAATAGACAAACTCAAGAAGAACGTAAACTGCTTCGAACATTCTTATTTCTCATTTTCTCAGTCAAACAATGTGCTCCCGGGCAAGTATTCGCTTATGGCTACCATTACCCAGTGAGTTTGTCATTCTAGCATATCGGTATTGCATTGACGATCGGGTCATAACAATAAAGTCGAATCCCCCATGCCGCTTCTTTCCTCGGCTATTATGGCTCTGTGCCAAATTGCCTGGTGAAGCAACGATTACATCTATAGTGGCTCAACGAGAACTGGATACTTGTTCTTGGGCATCCTTACTGGAGTAGGCTGGACTGAGTCATCTCTCTCTAGAGGAGTCCACCTGTCAAGAAGAGTAAGATTGTCAGATCAAGTTCTACACTCACAATAAATGCCTGAGAAATTCATCGAGCATAGTCTCAGACACGAACATATCAATTTTATCATTTCTTTTTCTTTTTCTTCTTCTTCTTCTTCTTCTTCTTCTTTATTGCTTCATTTTTTTAAAATGACTATAGCTTAGAAAAGGTTGTCCCCTTGGCTGGTTGACATGTTAGATGGCAATCAAAATGTTCTAGCAGGAAGATGAGACTTTGTTTATCAAAATGAGCATTTGGTGTTCCTTGTCGATCAGTGTCGTTCTTATCGAGAGTGTGTCGTGCTTCATCTGAATCACACAGCGTAAGAACTTCAATAAAGAAAATAAATTATGCAACCTTTTGCGGTTAGATGTTATACCCCTAGTTGCACACTCTACTGACCTTCAGAGACAAGGAACTTCTGTGGCTGGGATTGGCATTGAATGCTAGTTTGCAGCGTGCTCTTTGTCAACATGATAACATTGTCACCAAAGGTACTCCACTGACCAAAGCAGAAGTGACAGAAACCCCCAGCTTTGGCACCAGTGAGTGTGAATCACGAGGATGATGAATCTGAAGATGATTTTGCCCAGCTAGCTCACAGGTGAATGTTTTGCATTCTTTTTTGGATATGGTGTTCAGGTAAAATTTTATTTTCACTTTCAGTTGCTCTCGAGCTTCCATCATGTGACAGTTTCATCTGATACGACTGGTTCTACAGAACAGATATGCCACTCTTTCTTTGAGTTGCTTTTGGTAACTTAGATAAAGACCATAGAGGCTCTGGTATATGCCTTTTAGAAACATGGTCAGGCACAAATTTCTACGATTGTGGGAAGTGATGATGACTTACTAACATCACAATGATATGGAGATTCCTATTTTCTTCCGCACTTACTCTGTTGCTTCCCTAGACACCGACCTGGTTTTGTTTTGCCGGCACCCTTGTGTTGAAATGTGCTATATTCTTCCGTTTGAACACATTGGCAATAGAGCATGCACACACTCGTACTCATAGAAGAAAGTCTCTTTGTGACAGAGAAAAGGAATTTTCTTGAATGTCAGTTTTGAGATCTTTGATGTTGACTTCTGTGATCTTATGGAGGATTCTATGCTGAACGACACCCTATACTCTGTTCAAATAAGGGAAGCATCAGACCTGCAGCAGTTGAAGTTTGTTCCTTATGCAGAATTCCATGTCTCATCATGTAGTATTCACATTGTTGCAGGTGGTCAAAAGATAATGGACACAACCGGAAAGCAGCGAATGCTCAGACTGAACCGTCGGGAATCAGCCCACTTATTCCACCTCCACCCTCATCAAAGAGACCGGCTGCTGGAGATTCAAGCTCGATAGGTTATCTCAATGACGATGTATAAATACGAAGAATTTCCCGCAACATTGGGATCGACAATGTCTTCAGTTCCCGATTCTAACCCGACCAGTTCCATGCCATCTACTCCTTATCCCCATGATTCTTCTATTTTGGGCTTAGCCTACAAAATATATGCTCTGGGTTCTAAGCGTTTTGCAAAGAATATTGTAAGTAATGGTCAAAATACTTCACTTTGGTATGACAGGTGGCATCCTCTTGGCATATTGGCTGATGTATTTCCTTTTAGAGTCATCTATGACTCAGCTACGGGTTCTAATGCTACGGTGGCAGATGTTACCGTGGATAATGAATGGAGATGCCCTCCAGCTCGTTCTGATGACTTTGTGGAAATTAAAGCTGCCCTCTGTGTTAGCATCCTGCCAAACTCTGATGTAGCTGATAGAGTTGTCTATATTGGCTCTAAGAATGGCTTGTTTCAGCAACATGATGCTGGGAATCTGGTGAGGAATACCTGAATGGTGGTCTGTGGCATAGGTTGATCTGGTTCAGTCCTGATGTCCCTAAATTTGCTTACATTAATTGGTTGGTGGTGCATAATACATTGCATACCTTAGCTAGAATGAATGAGTGGTGTTGCATCGATGGTAAATTCATATTATGCCAATCAAAGAGGTATCTAGAGAGCATCTGCTCTTTTGATGCTCCTTCTCAAATTCTAGTCGATAGCACAATTTACAGTAGAATAATTGTGCTAGATCAGCAAACGGTTAAATTGTAGAAATCCCTTTTATTCTGCAGGCTGCTAAAGGGGAAAGCTTAAGAGCCTCAAATTGGAATGGTAGTGCGACCACTTAGTTTGGCAAGAGAGAAATGTAGTTCTACATGATCATGTTTTGTCTGAAGCTAGAAGGGTGAGTTACAAAATAATGGGAGTTAGACTATTTATTATTAATTCATGAGGGGCATCAAGCTCGTCACCCACCCTTTATTCAGGTTAGTGAGTTTTCTTGTACTTTTATAAATAATGGTGTTAACGTGTAAAACTCGAGCTAAGTGAATTTTTAATAAAATATAGTATCCCCCTAATGTTTAAGTAATTATATTTTTCGACTAGTCGGTAACAACTTTTTTTTATTGGTTTGCATCGTTTCATTTCTTAAGAAGATAACATATTTTATTAAGAGTTGATAAATTTAAATCAAATGAGACTTGGTCAGCAAATAAACCTTGGTAAGCAAAGCTGTAGAACAATGAACAAATAAACGGCTTATTGTTGATAAAGTACATTTTTGAAAGTTAATAACGAAAATTTATCAATAAAGGCTTACTCGTTGTCTTCGTTGATGAGCACTTTCTTTCTTGATAAATATTCATTATTAACTTTTCTCCCGTATAAAAATATCATCATACCGCAGATTATAACAAGTTTATTTTATCAATAGGATATGTTATTAGTTGTTTGATTTTCAAAAATTCTTCTTGAACTAGCCATAAAATGAATTTATATTAGTTTACTTTCAATTTTCTTTTGTTCTTTCTATTTGTAAATTTAAACTTAATAAAGAAATAATTTACCCAAATATTTTTGTTCTTGTCAATTTACAATTTAAATATAATGAGGAAACAATTTCACACTTCAAATTGCAACGTTATCTTCTTAACATTCAGATTTTAATTTAATTTGGTTGTAAATTAAGTGGGTTTATGTGACGTTACTTTACTAATTATATTCTCCATAAGCTATATATGCTTAAAAATATTTCTATTATAAAATCCATGAGACAAAATTCATGGAGTAACAAATGAATAAAAAAAACTAGTTGTTGATTGCATGCAACTTATGCTTGGATTTTAATTATTTATGATAGAGTAATTGTATAATAATAACGACTGTGCAAAATGTTAGACATTATTTCAATAATTCTAAGAGAGAATTAAAAGTGGCTTGAGAAAGGGTGACAGGGCAATTTTAAGAATATTGAGTTATATGTTTTACCATGTCTGCCGAATGACATATGCATTTGAAGGGAGTCAGGACTTGCAAATTGGTTAGCACCAACCTTGCAAATCGAAATATCCATATATAGCCGATGGAATCCTGAAAAAGCGAAAGTAATATCTGTTTGCTTTTCCTGTTAATATTTAAAATATTATTTAAATTTCAAAAACTATGGAGAAAATTATACGCGAATCTATATATCAACGTAAGATCACTTTCGAAGGTTTTCAAGTATTTTTTTACATTAATAAAAGTGAATTCGGGTACGCCGCAAGATTTTAAAAAAGCAAAAGGCAAACACTAAACAAACTCTGATTGTAGTAAGTATTGGAGAAGGCTTTTTGTGGATTGCTACGATAGTTACGCAAATTGTCGAACTATGAAAACCAAATAAACAGCTAATTAAGTTTGTGAAATTTTCATCAGAGAGCTTCTAAAAGGCTGACCCTCAATCACATTAATCGAATAATTCTTTGCTTCTATCCAAAAAAATAGTAATTCTTTGCTTCTGGACACCATTGATCTCATTCGACGCAGCCTATAAACAAAAGCAGGGAGAAGAACACGAGCATTGCCTCGTATCGAAGAAACATAGGTCACCGATATTCTTTGCCTTAGTTCATACTCCTCAAGGTGCTTCTAAATGAGACTAATCATGATACCTTCCTTCCTTTTCACTTGGCTCAAACGATTGTGGATTTCATTTCTGAACATAAAGATTCTTTGCGGCTCCACCCCAATGAAGAAAGGAGAAGAATTATAGTTACATTTCTCTTCTCGAAGTAAAGGAAAGGTTCCGATATTCTTTCCTTCGCCTGCTAGCCAGAACAATCGAGATAAATATAGCATATAGCTTATCGAACAGCACCCGTCCACCTGCTTTCCTACCATCTACATACTCCTATTTTTTCGATCTCTTATTCTTTCCTTTGGACGCATTATTTTCTAGTTCAATTCCATATAACCAGAGAGGACAAGTTACAGAGCAACGGGTGGAGCTTTCGGGCAATCCCTCTAGTTCCTGTGTTGAGACCGGTCCCTCGCGTGACGATTTAGTGGGCGAGACGCAGGAGCTCTCTCTTGATTCACCTGCTACGGAACAAGCAAGTGAAACAAGAGGATATACTCTTCAAAGATCTGGTCGATTTTGCAAAAGCAAGGTCCTCTTCATCGCCGCAGAAATCAAGCCCGTCATCTTGACTTGGAGTGATTGGTTCGTCTGAGAGCCGCGGTGGTGAGGCATCTAAATTCTTTTTCATGTAACTGGTTTTTTATAAATCATGTCTTGGAAAACATGATCGGTTCGGACAATAGCTGAGTCGTGGCTTTTGATGGCTCCATGATTTGTTATCCGCATAGGCATTACCAAGTAATGCAGTCTTCAGTCCCTAGAGCTTAGTGGTTATTGTCATCTAAAGTTGAATCATGCCCGAATCCTTTAATTCAAGTTGAACTCGATAGACATGAACAAAGAATTAAATTTTGGATAAAATCAAAACCCAAAAAAATATATGAGATTTCAATTTTCTCTCTATTGTTCGAATTAAGACCAATATGATGATGGCAATCAAAAACATAAATTGTTGACTCAAATATCATAAAACTTTGGTCATTAAGCTAACAAAAATTTAAAGGATAAGTGCACCAAAACTCTCTGTAAGTATCTTAATGGAGATAATCTAACATTCAAACTTGTGTTTGGATGCATCTATTAGCAAAAGGTTTTGATACACTTTTCATTAGTTAAGTTCAAAAATATGAAATTTCAACTATAGTTCTCAAGCTTTAAAAAAATTGAGCTAACACTAAACGAGAGAATAATACAGCGTAACAAAGTAGGCCTCTTTTTCTGACCAAAAAAAAAGTAGGCCTATTTTTTTTTTTGGCCAAAGTATTTGAATGTATTCAGTAAAGTGTCGAAGATATAACAGCAACCTAAAAATCGCAGAGGTCGAGTTTTAAAATCGTACAAAAGCAAGTCAATTAAATGGAATGGGTGTGACACTACCCAATCGCTAGGAAACTTTCCCTTATATCCTGCACCACAGGTTCACAGTGCGATCACATGAACTGGTTTGGCATCGTAATAGCTTTGAAGACAACTTCTAAATCGGTGTCAGGGATGATCTGTTCCCAATGCTTTTCTTTGGCTTAAAGAACTCCCTCCTTCAATGCTAACCTCTTATATATCAGAAGCAGCAACTGGTTACCCTGTACCACCCTTTACAGCACCTAAATAATCTCGACCAATAACTCCCACAGCCGCCTTGTTATGTTTTTCTAAAAAACTACTGATATCATTAATTTTGATGACACCTTGTGAAGGTTTCTTCCAATCAAAATCTCTAGTATCTTCCTTCTCACTCTTCCTCTGATCAGGATTGTCCAATTGCATATGCTTCTTCAAGTGAACATACTCAGTTAAAGCTTGTTGCGATTGCTTAAGCACCTTAACAGGGTCTGAAATAGTATGCTTGTACACACTACTACATCTTCCCTTCCACAGATACCAAAATACAAAAGCAATGATCCTGGAAATAGCTGCTTTGTCTCCACTCCTCTTCTCCATATCCTGACGTATTCTATCAAACCATAAATCAATACTCGACACTTCCTCCTTCTAATTTTCAGATTCAACATAGCAAACCAGATACACTCAGATTTTCGGCATAACAGAGTAATATGTTCAACAGTTTCCTCTCCACAAAACACACAATTAGCATCATTTCTGATCCTCCTCCTGAAAAGGTTGCTATAGGATGCTAAGGCACTAAGAGTGTAGTTTCCACACACACACTGCTCTCCACCACCTTTCAGATAGATGGACCTTCCTTCCTAAAATATAACTCCTTTACAAAAACATACACAGATATCATTGTCGACCATCCTCTGTCAAAAGGCCACACATATTTTTCTTCACCGCTGATATCACTAAGCTTTGATTTGTTGAATGGCATCCCAATCTTCAGCTGCAACATAATCTTGGCTAGGCCTCACATCCCAGCATCTCCAATCATTATTAACCAAATTACTACCCAATATAAGCTTGATTTCCTCCTTTGTTATCCCCATCTATCCTTCCACACCTTAACTATCTCTGGAAGCTATTTGCCATACTGTCCCTCCATTCATAATCTTTCTTCCCTCAAAAATACTACTCCATCCCCAAGAGGCCTTAGCACCTTTCACAGCCTCAAGAAAGTCACAATATGGAAAATATAGACCTTTAAGAAGCTTAACCCACACAGCATCCGGGTTATGAAAGAGCCTCCATACCAGCTTAGCAAGCCGAGCTAGATTAAAAGTTTGAAGATACTTAAAAACCCACAAAAAAATCTTTTATAGGAATCTCATTTGAGTCAATCTCACCATTTTCATTGTACTGCAAAATTAGATCCTATTTTTTTGTTTCTAAAATGAGATTTCAAGTTATATCTTTCGCTAATTAAAGCCTCGGTTGATCTTAGTTTAGTCTTCAATAAATAATCGAGGAACTTAAATTTTTGCACATCTTAAATTATCCATACTTTTTAAGGAACTAATCACGTTGCACATCTTTAAAACGTATGTTGATGGATATGAATTTCAAACCTATTTATCATGGCCAATGTAACCTTTAGTTAAGTTTAATATGCAAAGTCACTGTACATACAATTGACAAATTGCACTTGTTGTGTGGATTGAGAATTTATCTCCCACAATGAGTACATCAACCTAAAATTTAGGAAATTATTCAAAAAGTCCTAAACCTATTGTACTTTTGCTAATTCGATCCTAAACTTTTTCACATTTTGCCAATTGAGTCCATCCGACCAATTGACAATTTTGTCAATTCAGTCCTAAACTTATTCATAAGCTATAAATATTTGAAAGTAGTTTTTTTATAAAATCCATGAGACATTAAATTTATGGAGTGACAAATGAATAAAAGAAAACATGGTTGCTGATTGCATGCAACTTATGTTTAGATTTTATCTATTTATGATAGAGTAATTGTAAAATTAATAGTAACGATTGTGCAAAATGTTAGGCAGTATTTCAATAATTCTAAGAGAGAAGTAAAACTGCCTAGTATGAAAATGGTGACGAGGCAATTTTAAGAATATTGAGTTATATATTTGATGTCTGCATAATGACATGTACATTTGAAGTGAGTTGTGACTTGCTAATTAGGTAGCACCCATCCTGCAAATGGAAATATCCGTAGATGGCCGGTGGATTTCTAAAAGTGCATGAACAATATTTTTTTTTGACTTAACCATTAATTTTTTTTAATTTCAAAAACTTCGGAGAAGATTATATGGGAATCTGTATATCGATGACTTTCAAAGGTTTTGAAGCATTTTACATTAATAAAAGTGAATTCGGGCACACCATAAGATTTTTAAGAAGCAAATAGTAAAAACTAAACAAACTCTAATTCTAGTTAGTATTAGAAAAGGCTTTTTACGGAACACTTCGATAGTTATCCAAATTGTCAAATTATGAAAACTAAGTGCACAGATGATTAAATTTTTGAAATTTCCATTGGAGAGTTTCTAAAAGGCTGACTCATCAATTACATTTTTTGCATCTTAAAAAGGAATCAAATAATTCTTTGCTTGTATCCAAAAAAATAGTAATTCTTAGCTTCCGGACACCATTGATCACATTCCACGCAGTCTATAGACAAAAGCAGGAAGAAGAACATGAGCATTGCCTCATATCGAAGAAACATCGGTCACTGATATTATTTGATTTACTTTTCTTACTCCTCGGGGTGCTTCTAAGTGAGACTAGTCATGATACCTTCCTTCCTTTTTACTTGGCTCAAACTTTTGTGGATTGCATTTTTGAACCGTAAAATTCTTCGCAGCTCGTCCTCGACGAAGAAACAAGAAGAAGAAAAATATTTCCATTTCTCTTCTTGAAGTAGAGAAAAGGTTCCGATACTCTTTCCTTTGTCTGCTAGCTGGAATGATCGAGATAAATATACAAGAGCTTATCGAACTCCACTCATTCGCTCCCTTTCCAACCATCTAAATAGTCGATTTTCTGATCTGCTGTCTCGGAAAGAATTTATGGAAATCGCAAGTTCGCTTTTAGAAATCGTCAAAGGTTTATGGGCCTTGGCCAGTAAACCTTTGGGCTACATTTATAATCTGAAAGATAATGTCCGCTCGTTGGATGGAGCAAATGAAATCCTGAAGGCCGCGAGCGAAGATGTAAAGGCAAAGGTGGAACGTGAAGAAGAAGAAACACGTGCGCGGCGCACGAATCAAGTGGCGAGCTGGTTAGGCAAGGTGCAAGACTTTGTCGGTGGAGTAGATCAAGTTATTCGAGAAGCCGGGGAACATGACTAAATCAAATGTCTCAATCGTTGTCTTCCACGGAACTGCCGGTCGAGTTATAAATTGGGGAAAAGAGTCAATCAATTGCTCATCGAAGTGAGACAGCTCCAACATGAGAAAGAAAAATTTAGCGATTTCACGTCACCGCTGCCTCCTCCTCAAGTGCTCGAGATGCCTATGGACAAGACAGTGGGGCTTGATATTTCCCTTAATAAAGTGTGGAAATGGCTAGTGGACGAAAAACAAGTGGGAGTGATTGGGTTATACGGAACGGGCGGTGTGGGAAAGACCACCCTCATGAAAAGGATCAACGAGGAGCTTTCACATGCAAATCCTGGATTCGAGGTTGTTATTTGGGTGGTGGTGTCCAAGCAAGTGAACGAAGATAGCATTCGAGATGTCATAAGGAAAAGGCTGCACATTCAAGATGAGAGGTGGGATCGATGGTCCCGAGAAGAGAGGGTGGATCTTCTATGCCATGTTTTGACCCGGAAGAAGTTTGTGTTGTTGATTGATGATGTATGGCAGAGGCTAGACCTTTCGAATATCGGAGTTCCTCATCCTGATCCCAAGAATGGATCCAAACTAGTGTTCACAACTCGGTTGAGGCATGTATGCGACCAAATGGAAGCCGACAAAACCTTGAAAGTACAGTGCTTGATGCCCAAAGAAGCTCTGAAATTATTCGAGAAGAATGTTGGCAAATCGCTTGTAGATTGTCATCAAGAAATTCGAGACCTCGCAAAGGACATTGCCGAAGAGTGCAAAGGGTTGCCACTAGCCCTTATTACTGTCGGGCGAGCCATGGCCAGAAAAGACAATCCTCGTGAGTGGAGGCATGCGCTAACAACGTTGAGAAACAAACCACACAAGCTGCCAGGTATGGTGGGGGAAGTGTACCACATACTAGAGTTCAGTTATAATAGCTTAGATGACTCTACCCGACAGGCTTGCTTCCTTTCCTGTTGTCTCTTCCCTGAGGATTACCCCATAATAACGAACCAGCTTATTGAACTCTGGATTGGAGAGGGCTTGCTAGGAGACACTGATGATGTATACAGTATGCGAGACGAAGGAGAGTCTATCTTGGGGGATTTAAATAGGGCTTGTCTATTGGAAAGTGGGCGTGATGATGACCAACGGTATGTGAAGATGCACGATGTCATCCGCGACATGGCAACCTGGATCACTCGTGACCACGGGCAAAGGGAGAACAAGTTGCTAGTGATAGAGAAAGACGAAGACATGTCCGAGGAGATGATCTCCAAATGGGGGGAAGCAAAGAAAGTATCTCTATGGGGAAAATGGATTCGAAATATCAACAATACACCACCCCAATGTTCGCAGCTCGAAACTTTATTTGTAAGGGAAACAGAAGTGACGTTCATGCCAAAAGGATTTTTCGACTCGATGATGGCTCGTCTGACGGTCTTGGATCTATCCGGCAACAAACATATTGAGTCATTCCCAGAAGACATTTGCAATCTGATCAATCTACGATACTTGAACTTGTCGGCCACCGGTATTAGTGAATTACCCAAAGAAATCAAGAACTTAACTCGTTTACGGTGGTTGCTACTGGACGATATGTTGGAAGGAAACATCCTTATTCTGACAGGGGCAATCACAAGCTTACCGTTGAATGTGTTCAGCCTGTGGAGTTCTGATGGAAGTTTCCTGCAATTGGGCCAGGGGAAGGAAGAAGAGATGATAGAGGAACTAGGGTGCATGCGACATCTCACCGACTTATCTATTTGCGTGCGCGAGTCTTCTTCTGCTCAGAAAATATTCCAATCCCCAAATTTACGGAGACGCATAAGGAGAGCGCGCATTGATAATAGGAATAGTAACTTGACTAGCATCGTAATAAATTACTCACCAACAGGCACTGATGATTTCTCGCATTTAGAGACGCTTTATTTATTTGGCTGTAAAAAGCTGAGTGAGATGAAGATAACTCAAGGAATAGGGCGAGCGCCCAACTGCTCTTGCTTCCCCGATCTCGTTGAAGTTTCGGTCGACAATTGCAGGCTTTCGGACTTGTCCTGGCTCATGCATGCTCCGCAGCTCCGGGAGCTGACGGTCGTAGGCTGCGATTCGATGGAGAGAATCATTGGGGATGGGTTTGCAAGGGAGGAATTAGCTGATTCGGGACTATTCTCACGTCTCGAATACCTACTACTCATCGGTCTTCCCAAGCTAACGAGCATTTGCGACTAGGCTCTATCCTTTCCCCAGGGGGTAAGCTTTGCCATACTCGGCTGCCCTGGTCTTAGAAAGTTGCCGTTGGACTCGAGCAGCGCGAGGGGAAGCTTCGAGGTCGGAGGGGACAAACGCTGGTGGGCCGAGTTTGAGTGGGACCCCACCGCCCGGGTCACTTTGCAGTTGGGTATCCTGAGCCCCGCAGAAGAAGAAATGACATTCGAAGAGGCAGCACGTAAGGTGAAAGATGATGAGGAGTCCTTTCTTGACTTGGCCACGATTAGATTCCTATCTCGTGGGGGGCCAAGTGAATGAGTGAGTTGAGGCTGATAAGTTTAATATTGTTGTTTTTTTTATGATAAAAAAAAAGGCGGCTTCGTTTGTCTTTCCATAGTTATGTAATTTTCTGGTGTTGGGATTCCTGTAATGTGGGGGTAAGGGGGTGTTAAAATGAAGATGAAGGGGAAACAAAACGACCGCAGCAGCAAATAAGCATCTCTCTCTCTCTCTCTCTCTCTCTCTCTCTCTCTCTCTCTCTCTCTCTCTCTCTCTCTCTCTCTCTCTCTCTCTCTGTGTAACCTCACTTCTCGTTTGTATCTTCCAACTGCAACTGCAACTGCAAGTGCCAATTCAATAAAAAAAACCGTCCCTCCCACAATTTGGATTTAAGATCACCGTCTCTCGTCCTTTTTTTTATAATTAATTAAATTTTGACAAATTTCTCATCCCTTATCTTATTTATTTATTTAATAATAATAATAATAATAATAATAATAATTGTGTCCGTGATTATTTGGGCTTCCCTTTCTCTCTTGGCAAAGCTTTGGCATCTCCTCCTCCGATGCGATTGAGCCCCCCTCCCCCTTTCGATGTGGAGGCACGACGGTCGTGCTTCTAGATTCAGAGGCATTCTCGCCTTCGATGACTAAGCTTGTCAATGCCCAGAAGATGTAGCTTAGAGAGAGAGAGAGAGCATCATTATCGAGGCCAGTGGTAATGGCGGTAACCGCGGAGATCGTGGGGCCAAGGGCTTTGCGTGGAGTGGAGGGCATACTACAGAGAGAGAGAGAGAGAGAGAGAGAGAGAGAGAGAGAGAGAGAGAGAGGGTGTTTCAAGAGTTTTTGACCGAGTCCTTTTCGTCAGTCGGTTCTCGGTAGACCAGGAACAACTTCCCCATGACATTCCCTCTGAAGGTCGAAGCAGCCTCCGGCTCAGCTCTTCAGCGTACGGTGATCCTTCCTCCGGTGGTAGAAGAGGCTGGGCAGTACTCGCCAGCAGTGGCCTGATCCATTCAGTAATGGGAAATTATGATTCAGAGGGCTGAGATGAAAACTACCGGGACGGAGGCTGCTTATATTCTGCTATTTCGTGTTTTTTATCTGACAGTCCTATCAGGTCTACTAATATCAATTTGTCTTCCTAGCTCTAAAACCTTTGGCTGAACGACACAACCCAAGTCCGAAAATTGCCCTAGCTTTATTTCATTGCTTTTCTTTTAGGATCTGGTCGTAAGATTCGACCGTTCCGTAATCCGTTGCTGTTCTAATTGGAAGAAGCTGCAGAATTCCAGTATGCACCATCTTGGGTGATCACCAATTCTTACTGCCTGAACGACAAAAAATTGTTATTGCTAGAGATTTGGAGTATCGAGTTACTACTGTCCAAGAGCTGCGAGAGATATTTGCACTTGGTATTTACGCACGTCGAGTCTTGTCCCCTCTTAGATACTGAGTTTTATCTTGCTTTTGCCGAAAATGGCTTTGCCACTTTTGCACCTCTTTTGGGTGCGAAGGCTTTCCCATATTACGAATTAGCAAAATGAGACAATTACCTCCTGCACTCTGTGCCCCACGAATAAGCTCATAAGGTGGGCTATGCTGTCCATGCATGTGTCCCGTTTCTCCTTTCGCTTGCAGACTTGATTTTTGCACTTGGGAAGATGCCTCTTCGGTTATGTAGTAGTATGTAGCTTATTTAGTAAACTTTTGCAATCTTCAGTGCAGATTGAGTTGGATTTTGACATTACGTTTAGAATCTTAATCTATGATTGTGGACATGGTGGCGGGCTGTGAAGCAATAAGTAATTGTTGACCTTGTCGATCAGTGTCGTTCTTATCGAGAGCGTGTCGTGCTTCTTCTGAATTACACAGCGTAAGAACTTCAATAAAAAAAATTAATCATCCAACCTTTTGCAAAGGTAGTCCACTGACCAAAGCAGAAGTGACAGAAACCCCCAGATTTGGCACCAGCGAGTGTGAATCATGAGGATGGTGAATCTGAAGATGATTTTGCCCAGCTAGCTCACAGTTGAATGTTCTGCATTCTTTTTTGGATATGGTGTTCAGGTAAAATTTTATTTTCACTTTGAGTTGCTCTCGAGCTTCCATCATGTGACAGTTTCATCTGATACGACTGGTTCTACAGGACAGATATGCCACTTTCTTTGAGCTGCTTTTGGTAACTTAGATAGAGACCATAAAGGCTCTGGTATATGCCTTTTACAAACATGGTCAGGCACAAATGTCTACGATTGTGGGAACTTACTAACATCACAATGATATGGAGATTCCTATTTTCTTCCGCACTTACTCTGTTGCTTCCCTAGACACCGACCGGTTTTGTTTTGCCAGCACCCTTGTGTTGAAATGTGCTATATTCTTCCGTTTGAAAACATTGGCAATAGAGCATGCACACACTCATACTCATAGAAGAAAGTCTCTTTGTGACAGAGAAAAGTAATTTTCTTGAATGTCAGTTTTGAAATCTTTGATGTTGACTTCTGTGATCTTATGGAGGATTCTATGCTGAACGACACCCTATACTGTGTTCAAATAAGGGAAGCATCAGACCTGCAGCAGTTGAAGTTTATTCCTTGATGCAAATTTCCACGTCTTATCATGCAGTATTCAAATTGTTGCAGGTGGTCAACAGATAATGGAGACAATGGGTAAGTAGCAAATGCTCAGACTGAACTATCGCGAATCAGCCCACTTCTCCCATCTCTACCCTCATCAAAGAGACCAGTTGCTGGCGATTCAAGCTCAATGATTATCTCAGTGGCGATGTATAAAAATACAAAGAATTTCTCACGATAATGGGATCGACATTGTCCTCAGTTCCTGATTCTAACAGGACCTGTTCCATGCCATCTACTCCATCTTTATCCCCATTTTTCTTCTATTTTGGGCTTAGCCTACAAAATATCTGCTTGCTTTCTCTAGGAGAAAGGCCGTTGTCCTTTCACTGTCTATACGACTCCAGTGAAGGTTCTCAGAAGACAAATACTATCCAGCTGATAATATATTTCATACCTAGCTGTTTTTTGCTCCCTAAACAGGTGAAGATATTATTCTGTTTAGCATGCTTAGCGTTCAGTCTGAGAAGAAGTTTAATTAAGTGCTGGATTGCTTCCATTCCTTGTTCGTCGAAATTCAAGGAAGAAACTATAATCTAGCGACTGTCATTATTCTTGTCCTGCCATTTGCAGTCTGGCCGCAATTTTAATCGGCTCCGATGATGGCTTGATACATGACATATAACTGATGTCATCCTTCTTAGTCTACTAGTTTTATTTTCATTCACCAATCACAATGGAAGCCTGGACTGTCAAGCATTTGAGTTTTGCAGGGAAATAGCAAAAGTTGAAACCGGTGGTTTATGGTATGGTGAAGTACTGGAGTAAGATGTTTCTTTTGCCTACGAAAGTGATCGAGGCTGTTGTGATGAGATGCTCTGCATCTTTGCGAAAAGTCATATCAACTAATGCCAGGGGAGCTATGTAATAGCCCGAATTTCGATGTAATTCCGGGATCAATAAAACTAATATTAATTCGCATTTCATTTTAGTAAGTCTCGCCCGGAGCTGATCACTCTCGGGATACTAACCAATGGGGTATGGCTAACTAGAAAATGGTACGTGGACCGAGGACCTTATCGTGAAACGGACACCGATCACGAGAGACGCTGAGGGAATATTTTGAGCCAACGTGGGCCGATCGTAGGAAAGGGTAATGGATTGGGTTTGGCTAAGGCCTACGATGTACAATAGGGACGCAGGTGATTCTGCAAGACCGAAAGTACACGTGGCCAACCAGTCCTGAACTTGAACCGAACGATCGTGACCTCTGGAACTAGTGATAATTTCTCATTCTCTCAATGATCGAGACCATTACGATACGGATAGCCTTAGGTCGATACGCGTAATCCCTAAACAGCCGCCGGTTAGTGAGAGACCCTGAAATTGAAAGTTTAGCGAGTTTTGTTCACGGAATTGGGGCCGGATTTCGATATCGATTTTCGAAGGCTTAAGAGACTATTTTTGGGAATCTGACGTCATATCACGCTGGCCACACATGTTTGGAGTTAGTACGAGTAAAAATTGGAATTTCGGTCCGGGGGTGAAAATTTACGATTTTGCCCCTCGGGACGCCAGCGTTGCTTTTCGAGGCCAAATGAGGTTATTTTTCGAGGTCGACGCCATTTTTGGGTGACCACGCATACCAGGAATCGTTATGGCCAAAAATTGGAATTTCGACAAAAATTGAAAAATAATATTATTTTATTCCCGAAACTTTGCAGTCGATTTTCGAGGGCTTGCGCGATGAATTTCGCGATTCTGACACCGCATTATGTTGGCCACGCTCATGGAGGGTTGGTACGGGAGAAAAATGGAACTTCGCCCCGGGACCGGAAAAATGACGGTTTTGCCCCTGGGCTATTTTTGGGTCCGAATTTTTGGGAAATTATTTGGGATAATTATTGATGATTATCAGCTGCATTATTGGGGCTAAAGAACATTTTACCCTTCACTTTTTGGATAGGGATGGGTTAGAACCGTTAGATTAGGGGCGTTTTGGTCAAATCGCGCGGATCGGCGACACGTGGCGCCCCTAGGCTGCTGTATTTGACCAGACCAGACCCATTTCTCTCTCCTCTACCCCCCCCCCCCCATTCAGCAGAACCACCCCAGACCAGCAGCTTCTCCCCCATTTTCTCTCTTTTTCTCTCTTGTTTGGCCTTGCCGGAGCAAGCCACCGGTCACCGGAGCGCCACCGCCGGCCACCGTGCCTCATCGTCGACCACCTCAACCCCCAGCCTCAGCCTCGCCCCTGTCCGACCCTTTTTCTCTCTACTTCTCTCTCTTTCTTCCTCTTTTTCTCTCTTTCCCGTCCGGCAAATAGGGCCACCGGAGCTTCGCCGGAGCTCGGATCGCCGTTCCGTCGCCACCCAGCCGTCCAGCCACGCTGTACGACGCCGACCGCACCCGTCCGTACAGTGTCCATACGGTCGGTACTGTAGCGCCGTACGGTCGCCATTCGTACGCCCGTCGCGCCGGCCACCTCCACCTCACCGGCCACCGTTTTTGCTGGTTCCGTACGGTGTCTGTATGGGGGGTGTCTGTCTGTTTGCTTGTGTTCACCGCCGCCCCCGTACGGTCACTGTTCACGCCGTCCGTACGCCGTCGCTGGGAATTCCGCCGCCGGTTTCACTGTTCACCAGTGATCGGCTGCCGTTCCCCATCGTCATGACCTTGGATTAGGTGAGTAAAATTCCTAAACCCGGATTAGGACTGATAGTGCGTTTTTCTGGACTGGTTTAGGTATTATCGGTGCATTTTTGGACTGGCTTAGGTAGTATCAGTGTATATTTCAGACTGGGATGAGGACTGATTGGTAGAAATTATTATTGGGAAAATTTAGTGGATTAATGAGAATTATTTGGGGAGATTAATTGGATTAAATGACCAATTTATGAGCCCATTGAAAAATTACGGGTATGTCGGGTTGGACGGTTGTACGTAATTTGTGCTTAATTGTGATTGACTTCGTAGTGCCATGTCACATGTCGTGTGGTTGAATTATGTGGAGTGCGATTGGCCAATGATTGGTTTGAAATTAATTGTTGATTTGTGATTCGCACGTTAGGCCACACGGTATTAATTGGGTCAATTGAGCACGTGTTGTGATATTGAGTGTTTGAATTATATTGGTGCTCGTGGTGCATTGCATTGCATAACATGGACACGCATTATGTATGTCAAGAGTGAGGCATGTGATGAAATTGTGCGAGAATGCGTGCCTGCCATGAGCATGTGATCACCTAAAATACCCTGAAGCGTTTTACGCTGGGTTCAGATAATAATTGGTTGTGTGATCACCTAAGAACCTTTGGGTCATGACCTTCGGGTCGATACCGTCCTCATGCACTTTGAAGCAGGACGATGCCCGGTACGTTCGGAAGACGACCATCCTCATGCACTTTGAAGCAGGCTCTGGTTCGTAAGGAGATCAGTGTTGCGCCTCATGCACTTTGAAGCAGGCTAGAGACACTGGGCCAGATCGGTTGCTGCGCCTCATGCACTTTGAAGCAGGCTAGACGCACCGGGCCATGAATATTGTTGACTCGAGTCGTAATAAATAATAAATTGGGCGATTGCCAGTGTGCCAGTGTGGGCCAGTGGGCCGGGAAATACACGTGACATGTCGACGACATTTGCATGCATGAACATGCATGGATTGGCATGTGAGTGTGTGAGACTCGGTGCATGAGCATGTGATTGGCGTACGTGTGATAATACGTGCCACGTACGTGCCGTGATTATTATATATTGAACTGCCTAACCTGCAGGGTCAGAGAATTATTTGATTGTTGTTGCATTATGATTTCAAATATTTATTTTCAGTCAGGAGATTGCATGCTAGCTTAGCCTAGGTTTAGGGGTTGAACTCACTGAGATTCGTATCACGGTTGTGTAAACCGAAACTTTTCAAACCCCCAGCCGTAAAGATGCCGAACCCGCCGCTTTTTGGAATACCTGTACAGATACACTAGTATACCAGTTCATACCCCGCAGGAAATGGGGAATCCTATGTGAGATATAGATCCGTGGTGTTTGTAAACGTGGGAGAGTATTTTCATCAGACTCAGGAATATGTAGCTTGGTGCTTGAGAGATGCCGACGGAAACCTAGGGCAACCCCTGAGGACTTTTGATGCGTCAATCGGTCAAAATGGATTGATGGAACCCATATATGCGGATGGCGAGGTGATCAATCCTCAAGATGTTCACGATGTAAATGGCGTTGATGAGCCTATGGATGAGGAGCCACAGGAGCCACAGGTGATAGCTGAAGATCAGGACCAAGATGCCGAAGAGGAGCCGGAACCTGAGCCGATGGATCAAGACTCAAGTGTAGACGGAGAAGTCGCTGAGGTAGGATCTGACGAAGAGCTGGGAGTAGACGACGAGTTAGGTCTCTACCTAGATCCGAGTTGGAGCGGGACTCGAAGATGAGCGAGCCCAAGCCGAAGATATGGATTCGAACCGTCCGAGTCTTCGAGAATCCTTCGAGGAGCCGTCGGACGAAACCTCTCGGATCTTCTCGACCCTGAGTGGGAACCCTAGGTTTATTCTGAGCCATAGCTAGTAGTGAGGGCTGGAAACTTTTTGACTGTAGCCCTCTCTTTGAGTTAGTCTGACCTCCCTAGCCACTTCCCTTTTTGACCCCGTGGCATGCAGATCGTATAGGTGGGGACTTATATCTTTTCATAGTTGTGTATAGATGTTTGTAAAGAAGTTTTCTATAGCAATGTAAAGTGCAAGTATGTTTCCTCGTTGGTTGCTTGTTGGTTATCCTTGTCTCATATTTTACTGTCAGGGTTTATTATTTATTCTTCCGCTTGTGCTTTACTCTCGGTTGGGGCGTTGGGTCGGCGACGCTTCCTGGGAGCGTTGCACCATAATCGACCAAGGTAGGGATGTTACCGCTTCGTGGGGAACGGGGCGTGACAAGCTAGAGTGGCTTGGTCTGAAGTGTCTTCCCAAGTTTGAGGGAGGGCTTGGCCTTAAAAGTTTGCTTCTATGAGTGACGGTTCTATGTGTCACGGTCCATAGGTTTTCAAGGTACAAAGGACTTCCGACCAAAAAAAGAAAAGGTACAAAGGGCCGTGATGATCGGAAAGACCGGGCGAGCCTTTTAGAGTTTCTCGAATTCTCTAGAATATTACTAGGGATGAGCAATATGGGAAATATACACCATTCTGGAGAATT